GTGGCGTAGTGATTTTTTCAATAAAAAAATCGCTAATAAAAAATCCCGATTTTCGACTAAGAAAAAATATCTTAGTATGCCCTGAAACTTTAATAAACATTTCAAATTTTGTCCCAAGGTAGACCTTTTAGTACTTGACATTTCAAAAGAAATTATTAAAATCGGTTTACAACTTCAAATTTTAGGGGGGTGTTTCCATTAAAAATGGGTCACACTGTACCTACACAGAAGGTTGAATGGTCTGACGCCTATCAGAAAACAACTACTCCCCTGGGTAATACCACGAAGGGCGTCAGATTATATCCGACAGGCGTCAGTGGTAATTGGTAATACAACTGAAAGAGTCGACCTTCAATTTTGGAACGGGCACACTTGCAGGCCGTTTTCGGGGTCATTAGCCACTCGTCAGTGTAAGATAGTGACCATCACCGACCTAAAGTGCCAAGTTGTAATAGTTGTCCATATGGACCGAACGTCCATGGTCGAAAAAATTGCGCATTAGGTGGAGTACTACTCTTTCTGTGTGAGACTTACCGCCTGTTATATCACCTGCACCAGCACATATATGGACGTCTAAAATTGCAGAATCGGCTTCTGTCAGCATATAAAGCTTTACTCCATATTTATGCCGTTTCTTAGGGAGATATTGCTTGAATAGCAGTTTCCCTTTCCACAGAATCATAGACTCGTCAAGAGATAAATATTTGCCTGGGTAGTATACTCTCTTCATTTTATTGTTAAAATGACCTAGTAGTGGTCTTATTTTATATAAACGATCTACTGGGACTGGTTCATTTTCATTTTTGGTAAAGTGAAGACATCTCATTATAAGCAAATAGCGGTCCCTACTCTGTCATGTACGTAGAAAAACAAGTCGAGAATAGTCTATTTTCCTTGCAGTAGTCTTGTATGTTAGGCATACAACCTTCCATACTGAAAGGTCCTTCCAAACAGAAATCCTTGAACGGTCACATCCTCTGCTGGTAGTAAGGACTTCAATTGCATAACTGTTAGTTAGTGAGACAATCATATTTAAATGTTCTCTACGTCATCCTCAGTATCACTTCCTGAAGAGTCACTTTCAGAAACATTTTCAATTCGAACTAAAAATATTGATTTCAAACCACATATTTATTATGAAATTTATCTACTTACTGTTATCTACATCACATTCGTTCTCATACTCATCATCTGAATCTGAATTATATAAAAACTGCATCATTTCCTCAACAGTCAGTTTTTGTTCATTTTTCACTCGCACAGTCTTACGTCTTTCTACACCTGAAGGCCCAGCTTTATTTATATCGTCCATTATAATACAAATACAAACAATTAAATTTATAATCACAATGAACAGACTAGAAACTACAAACCTAACCTAAACATTAACTATGAATTACTGAGACGCGACGCCATCTATAAACAGTAGTTAGCTTTAAAAAAATGCGGACAAAGTTTGCTCAATCTCCTGAAACTGCGTCACATTTTAAATATTGGATAAATCTCCATATACACAGGACGCTCAAGAGCGCCATACGCATTTTACAAAGAACCGGGAAGGCGCGCATGTGCGCTTTACGCAGCGAAAGGGTTAAAAAGGGATAGTTATTTCATTTTGTATCTGCAAGAAACTTCTATGCGACATCTACACATCTTTGTTTCTTTGAGAGTTTTTTCCCAATAACTAATTTCTTCTAAAAATATACCCCTTTCAACTTGAACAAGATTCATATGGCTGGAATCAGATCAAATAAGCGTATGAATGTATTTACATACTGTCATCATGACATTAATGGATTTGTCTTATCCCTGCCATAAAGTCGCACTGTTATTAATGAAATTAGTCTTCCATCTTGTAATATCATCCAGAACGATGATGATGAGGTAATAAGACAAGTATCATGTAAGTAAAATTTTATATCGTAACTTTTTCATATATTATATTGCGTAGCGTTCCTGCTGATGATATCTTAAATATATGATTTTCAAATATAAGGGAGAAACATGGAACAACTCAACACACATCACTACTTTTCCGGGTACCTGATTAAATCGAATGAAATAATTCTTTTTGTTCTCAGGGTCATCGATAGCCTTTCATCAGGAAATATATAGCTGAGATATTACCTTGAAAAAAAAACTGCCGATGGCATTATAATAGCTCTGTAGCCATACATTCGAAGAGCAAGTGATTATGTATTAACCGTCTTTAAAGCAGCAAAAAACTAACAAACATATTTTCGTAGTTTGAATGCATTCGTTGTGGATTTCCTTCTCCATTGTGAAAGTGATGGAAGGTCTCACGCTGTTGATGTGTTTCAGGAAGGCGTCTAGTTCAGTGTTCCCATGGTTCCACATTATGAAGGTATCGTCAACATATCTCAACCAGGTTTCTTGTGGGCTTCTTCAATGGCCAGAGTTTTAAACCACTCCATATATATGTTGGCTATGACTGCTGAAAGTGGCGATCCTCATCTTGTGTAAAGAATTCGTCCTTCAGTTGGAAATAACAGTTTCGTACACAGAATCCTAGTTTCACTAGTTCATGAAACATTGTCAATCACCTTCAAACAAACGTAGAATCCTAGTAATTCCATAATTACTTCTATAGGTAGATTCGTTCTTTCTTTCAGGTTCCCGTCTTCGGATAGCTTTCTCTGTATGATTTGGAGTGATTTTTCGACCGGAACGTTGGTGTAAAGGCTTTCCACGTCGAAACTAATTAGTTGATTTTCCTGTGTAACCTCAATTGACCCTAGTAGTTTGACAAAATACCTTGAATTCTTCACAAAAGATGATGTTTTTCCTTGTAATGGTTATATTAAGGGAAGTACAAATCTAGACAAGTTTTGAGTAGCCGAATCTCTGGAGCTGATTATCAGTCTAAGTGGAACGTCCTTCTTGTGGATTTTGGGCAGTTCATACAAGTGAGGGGGCTTACTGTGATGCGGTGTTAGCAATTATCTTTCCTTGTCCGAAAAATAGACTTGGTGTTTTTTCAAAATCTGGTACCATTTCCTTTCGATTGATGCAGTAGGGTCCAGTATGGTCTTTGTGTATCGTCTCTTTTGAGAAACCTCTTCGATCTTCTGTTCGTAGAGAACGGTATCCATTACCACAGTAGCGTTTCCTTTATCTGCAGGTAAGATCTTGATGGTGTTGTCTCTACGTAGGCCATTCAGAGCTCTACGTTCTTCATTGCTGATGTTAGATATTGGAACTGGTTCTCGATCCAGCTGTTCTCTAATTTTCCATCTGAACTCTTCTGCCTCGGTCTGGTCAATAAGGGAACTGGTGGATAATATCCACAACAGAAAGTGGGGGAAGTTAGTGAGGAAACAATGCCCAAATACAGACCGAAAACAGGACAACTATGAAGCCGCCAACGTCATCAACGTCATCCGCCCGCTCAAGAAAATAGAGGAATCCTTGTTGAGGAAAGGCCTAAATTTCGCCATTACGCCAACATCTGTGCCCACTTTGTAGATAATTACTGCAGTGGAATCCACTGCAGAATTTTTTACACAAGATGCCAATGGGATCGCCACTTTCAGCAGTCATAGCCGACATATTTAAGGAGTGGTTTGAAACTCTGGCCATTGAAGAAGCCCACAAGAAAGCTCGAGTCTGGTTGAGATATGTTGACGACACCTTCATGATATGGAACCATGAGAACACTGAACTAGACGCCTCATCCACTCATACGGGATAGTATCTGAACCACGAATCCAACCACCATCAATCAACTAAAAGAGGAATCATCAAGACTCTAGTAGACCGTGCTTTCGGGCTCTGTAATACGAAGGAAGGTCTCGAGAAGGAACTAGACATCATCAAAAATGATCTTCAACGGAATGGCTACTCCAAAGCGATGGTAAAAAAGACCTTGGCTAAAATTTGATGAAACGCTTATAAAGAATAGTGTTGCTTTTTGGTATGTGGGAGAAGTGTTTCTGTTGTACTAATATCAGTTTCTGAAGATTCAAAAGTATCGGAACACAATCTGAACCCATCTCATTTACCAATTTGGAAATAAATTATCGAGGTATATCTGTTTAAAGCACATTATTAGAAATTATGTGCTGCAGGAACACACATACTGACAAACTGAAGCTGATGTAACAGATTTATTATTGGAACCCCTCGGGAGAGTATCTTAGGACCACTCTTATTCCCGTTGTACATAAATGACGTACCTGACTTCATTGAAGGGGGAAAGGTGTTTATGTATGCAGATGGCAGGATATTAATAGTGACTGGCTCCTCGCTGAGTACTCTTACTGTGAAAGTGACCTCAGTATACAGGGCTTTTCTGATGAGCGTTAATTAGCCGTTTCTGACAAACTATTTAACGGATCAACCGGAAAATTTCACAGTATGCATAAGTCAATATGACCTACACCCCTAAAATATTTCAGACGGAGCGGCGTTGTCGCTTCTACTATAAAGTAGCGGCTTCTTTGATTTTTCAAATGGAACACCCCGTATATAATATCATATTATGATTCATTATCACTTTGTCAA